CCAAGAGACAATCGAAAAGCCGCTCGCAGGTACCTGGTAACAGTCTGTCAACACTCAGGTGACTACCGATGACTGAAAATGAACTTACACACAGAATCGAACTAATTTTGTACTAAGTCATATTCCCATGGGTGGAATGGGATGATGGCAATAAGGAAAGGATTATTAAAGTTGAGTGGATGATTCCGAGAGCGAAGTTCGATAATAACTGAACCTGCAGTAATAAAACGGCCCCCCCTGACCAAATAAAGGGTACCTGTAGTCAGGGGGCGGATCTAGGATTATCTCGCTCGAGGGGGGTGGGGGGTCGGATTTTCAAAAAAGTTCAAAAATTTTGTCGACTTTTTTTAAGGTCGACCAAATTGATTTTCCGAGCTCTCCCCAAGCATTAAAAAGACCCTGTTTTGGTCCATTTTTCTGCGCCGCAGGCAAAATTTTGAAAAAAAACAGGCCAAAAGAGGCACCTCAAGGAAAATTTTGACCAAAAAAAATTGCACGTAAAAAACTCCAAGAACTAACTCGCAACTATCTATTGAGTTTTTTGCAGATCTATTGAGACTAGGAGATGTAAGAGTAAGATTAAGATTAGTATTAGACTAGGAAGTTGCACGAACCTATCCGGCCGAAAAAAAGATAACGTGACGAACAGACGGTGTACCTTATCTGAAATTACTCTATGAGTACAGTACCTCGTACATAACAACTGGGTAAATAGGTATTTTTCATATTGAAAACTTAAAAATCTAAACAACTGGACAAAGAGATATGTTTTTTATTGAAAAAGTGAAAAACTAAACAACTGGGTAAATAGGTATTTTTCATATTGAAAAAGTGAAAAACTAAACAACTGGGTAAATAGATATTTTTTATATTAAAAACTTGAAAATCTAAACAACTGGGCAAAGAGGTAATTTTTATATTGAAAAAGTGAAAAACTAAACAACTGGGTAAATAGGTATTTTTTATATTGAAAACTTGAAAATCTAAACGACTGGGCAAAGAGGTATATTTTATATTAATAAAGTTAAAACTAAACAACTGGGTAAAAAGGTATTTTTCATATTGAAAACTTGAAAAACTAAACAACTGGGTGAAAAGGTGTTTTTTATATTGAAAACTTGAAAATCTAAACAGCTGGGCGAAGAAGTATTTTTTATATTGAAAAAGTGAAAAACTAAGCAACTGGGTAAAAAGGTGTTTTTTATATTGAAAACTTAAAAATCTCAACAACTGGGTAAAAAGGTATTTTTATATTGAAAACTTGAAAATCTAAACAAATGGGCAAAGAAATATTTTTTACAATGAAAGTGAAAAACTAAACAACTGGGTAAATAGGTATTTTTTATATTGAAAACTTGAAAATCTAAACAACTGGGCAAAGAGATATATTTTATATTGAAAAGTGAAAAACTAAACAAATGGGTAAATAGGTATTTTTCACATTGAAAACTTGAAAAACTAAACAACTGGGTAAATAGGTATTTTTTATAGTGAAAACTTGAAAATCTAACCAACTGGGTAAATAGGTATTCTTTATATTGAAAACTTGAAAATCTAAACAACTGGGCATAAAAGTATTTTTTCTATTGTAAAAGAGAAAAACTAAACAACTTGGTAAATAGGTATTTTTTATATTTAAAAAGTGAAAAACTAAACAATTGGGTAAATAGATATTTTTATATTGTAAACTTGAAATTCTAAACAACTGGGCAAAGAGGTATTTTTTATATTGGAAAAGTGAAAAACTAAACAACTGGGTAAATATGTATTTTTCATCTTGATAACTTGAAAATCTAAGCAACTGGGCAAAGAAGTATTTTTTATAATGAAAAAGTGAAAAACTAATAACTGGGTAAATAAGTATTTTATATTGAAAACTTGAAAATCTAAACTGGGCAAAGAGGTATTTTTTATATTGAAAATTTGAAAAACTAAACAACTGGGTAAATAGGTATTTTTATATTGAAAACTTGAAAAACTAAACAACTGGGTAAATAGGTATTTTTTATATTGAAAACTTGAAAATCTAAACTGGGCAATGAGGTATTTTTTATCTTGAAAAAAGGAAAAAATGAAGAACTGGGTAAAAAGGTATTTTTCATATTGAAAACTTGAAAAACTAAACAACTGGGTAAATAGGTAATTTTTATATTGAAAAGTTGAAAAAGTTGAAAATCTAAACAACTGGGCAAAGAGGTATAATTTATATTGAAAAAGAGAAAAAATAAACTGGGTAAATAGGTATTTTTCATATTGAAAACTTGAAAACCTAAACAACTGGGCAAAAAGGTATTTTTATATTGAAAAAGTGAAAATCTAAACAACTGGGCCAAGAGGTATACTTTAAATTGAAAAAGTGAAAAACTAAACAACTGGGTAAATAGGTATTTTTTATGTTGAAAACTTGAAAATCTAAACAACTGGGCAAAGAGGTATTTTTTATATTGAAAAAGTGAAAAACTAAACAACTGGGTAAATAGGTATTTTTTATATTGCAAAAGTGAAAAACTAAACAACTGGGTAAATAGGTATTTTTTATATTGAAAACTTGAATTTCTAAACAACTGGGCAAAGAAGTATTCTTTATAGTGAAAAAGTGAAAAACTAAACAACTGGGTAAACAGGTATTTATATATTGAAAACTTGAAAATCTAAACAAATGGGCAAAGAATTATTTTTTACAATGAAAAGTGAAAAACTAAACAACTGAGTAAATAGTTATTTTTTATATTGAAAACTTGAAAATCTAAACAACTGGGCAAAAAGATATAATTTATATTGAAAAAGTGAAAAACTAAACAAATGGGTAAATAGGTATTTTTCACATTGAAAACTTGAAAAACTAAACAACTGGGTAAATAGGTATTTTTTATAGTGAAAACTTGAAAATCTAACCAATTGGGTAAATAGGTATTCTTTATATTGAAAACTTGAAAATCTAAACAACTGGGTAAAGAAGTATTTTTTATATTGAAAAAGTGAAAAACTAAACAACTTGGTAAAAAGGTATTTTTTTAATTGAAAAAGTGAAAAACTAAACAATTGGGTAAATAGGTATTTTTATATTGAAAACTTGAAATTCTAAACAACTGGGCAAAGAGGTATTTTTTATATTGGAAAAAAGAAAAACTAAACAACTGGGTAAATAGGTATTTTTCATATTGAAAACTTGAAAATCTAAACAACTGGGCAAAGAAGTATTTTTTATAATGAAAAAGTGAAAAACTAATAACTGGTTAAATAAGTATTTTATATTGAAAACTTGAAAATCTAAACAACTGGGCAAAGAAGTATTTTTTATAATGAAAAAGTGAAAAACTAATAACTGGGTAAATAAGTATTTTATATTGAAAACTTGAAAATCTAAACAACTGGGCAAAGAGGTATTTTTTATATTGGAAAAGTGAAAAACTAAACAACTGGGTAAATAGGTAATTTTCATATTGAAAACTTGAAAAACTACACAACTGGGTAAATAGGTATTTTTTTTATTGAAAATTTGAAAAACTACACAACTGGGTAAATAGGTATTTTTTATATTGAAAATTTGAAAAACTACACAACTGGGTAAATAGGTATTTTTTATATTGAAAATTTGAAAAACTACACAACTGGGTAAATAGGTATTTTTCATTATGAAAACTTGAAAGACTACACAACTGGGTAAATAGGTATTTTTTATATTGAAAATTTGAAAAACTACACAACTGGGTAAATAGGTATTCTTTATATTGAAAATTTGAAAAACTAAACAACTGTGTAAACAAGTAATTTTTAAATTGAAAATTTGAAAAACTACACAACTGGGTAAATAGGTATTTTTTTTATTGAAAATTTGAAAAACTACACAACTGGGTAAATAGGTATTTTTTATATTGAAAATTTGAAAAACTACACAACTGGGTAAATAGGTATTTTTTATATTGAAAATTTGAAAAACTACACAACTGGGTAAATAGGTATTTTTCATTATGAAAACTTGAAAGACTAAACAACTGGGTAAACAGGTAATTTTTATATTGAAAATTTGAAAAACTACACAACTGGGTAAATAGGTATTCTTTATATTGAAAATTTGAAAAACTAAACAACTGTGTAAACAAGTAATTTTTAAATTGAAAGTTTGAAAAACTACACAACTGGGTAAATAGGTATTCTTTTTATTGAAAATTTGAAAAACTAAACAACTGTGTAAACAAGTAATTTTTAAATTGAAAATTTCAAAAACTACACAACTGGGTAAATAGGTATTCTTTATATTGAAAATTTGAAAAACTAAACAACTGTGTAAACAAGTAATTTTTAAATTGAAAATTTGAAAAACTACACAACTGGGTAAATGGGTAACTTTTATATTGAAAATTTGAAAAACTACACAACTGGGTAAATAGGTAATTTTTATATTGAAAATTTGAAAAACTACACAACTGGGTAAATAGGTAATTTTTATATTGAAAATTTGAAAAACTACACAACTGGGTAAATAGGTATTTTTTATATTGAAAATTTGAAAAACTACACAACTGGGTAAATAGGTATTTTTTATATTGAAAATTTGAAAAACTACACAACTGGGTAAATAGGTAATTTTTATATTGAAAATTTGAAAAACTACACAACTGGGTAAATAGGTATTTTTTATATTGAAAATTTGAAAAACTACACAACTGGGTAAATAGGTATTTTTTATATTGAAAATTTGAAAAACTAAAACTCACTAGTGAGAAGTAAGCAATTTATTTTCGCGCATTAAACACTTTTGTTTTAGGATAGCGTAGTTTTAGGCCGTCCAATGAGACTTGAATTTGAAGTTACCTTGAAAAGAACTCGATAGTCAAGCCGCGAAAAATTAGGACCAGAATTTTGGCTTTTCGTTAGAAAATAAAATTTAACAAAAAGTGCTCACTTCGCGTGTTCACTCCGCTTACTGAGTCTTTAAAAACAGAGAGTATAGAAAGAGAACTAGTAATGGTCAAATATATCAAAATTTCAAGACATACCTGCATCGTCCTTGTAAGTAGTTACACCCGAGAAGTTCCCATTCCCCCAGTACTGGACGAGATCGCTGTCTCGGTAAAGACTGAAGGTGAAAGAGGAGTTAGCGTCGTCGGTCATAGAGAACCCAATAGTGATATAAGTGTCCGAAAAAGTTGATGCGGTTCCGTTGATTCCTTGCTTGGGGGGTGCTAAAATAGAAGTCAATTTACAAACTACTTCATAGATTTTTTCTAGAAAAATATGTCCAACAGCTTTCTGATAATGCCTAGAAAGTTATTCTCACAAAATAACATCTTTAAAACTGCATTTCAGAGTTTTCTCCAAGTTTCATGATATTCAGAGTTCTGAAAATATAAAATGTTTTCGGATGATTGCTCGTCCCAGGAACAGCAAACAATAGGAACGTAACTCAAAAATGAAAACTACAGGAACTATAGACAGCTAGAAACTTTTCACGAACAAAATATGAATTAAATAGGCTCGGATCAAAGAAAGAATGACAAGTTGCTTTTAAAGCAAAAGCTTTAAAAAAGAAATTAAAAATCGAAATTCAGAGAATTCGATTGAAGCGCTTCTAGTATGGCACTGTTTTGGTAACGCTTAAAATATTCTGCTAATCCGCCAAGCTAAAACACAAAAACATCATGCAAAAATATTGCATAATTTAGCCTACAATTAGCGCATTTGTAAAATTAGCGCAAAAATCTTTCAGAATATTCTATTAGCTAGAGTGCTGATTTAAACTAAACGGGCCGAACGAAAAAAAAAACATTAAAAATTCAACACGTTGTCTCAAACTGGGCTGGTTGATATCATACAAACATAGCCAACAGACAGTTGGAAAAGAGTCAACGAACGCAGGTAAACAGAAAAAAACTGCCTTGTTTTGTAGAAAAAAGTCAACTTTCGTCAAAAAATAGATGGCCTTAAGCTCTTCTAGTTCATGGAATTCATGATTAACCCTTCCTTGATAGTATTAACCCAATTTGACAAAACTGGATAAACTAATTCCATTTTTTTCGAAATTAGAAGTCGATCACGTTTTTGGTGACTTTTCGCTGTTCAATAGTTGGGTTGGCCTTCCTTTTAAGAAAAGAAATGAACTGAACTTATAAATAAATTAAAAGTTAAACGGCGAAAAAATAACTTTAAGACAACCTAAATAAAAAACATTAAAAACCATCACGACCTATATAAGAGCCTGAACTACGTTCAGCGACTCTTAAAAAAGGAGGAAAAAACCACTTTAATTTTTAATTTTTACCAGAATTTTCATGAGACAAACTAATGTGCGAAATTCGATATAAAAATTTTAAGCCAATATAGATAATTTTTAGCTTATTTTTAGCAATAAAAAATTATTCTAGAACTGAGCCTGAAAAACGACCAAAATTTAAAGAACGGCGTGTTCTCCGAGATTTTTCTCGCGAATTCTTTGAATTGTGTTTAAACAAAACATTGTTATTTTTTATAGTACACATAATACTTTGGCCATCAAACAAAAATACATTTCTCGACACAAAAATAAGAAGATCATATCTTCTGAAATTTGGTTGGATAACTAGAAAAGAGACGCATTTCGATATAAGCATTTAGATTGACTTAGTAGGTTTAGCGTAAATTGTGAATGACTAGGGTAAAGTTTTTGGTCTGAGCTTTTCAAAAAACTAGAAAACTAAAATTCTGCTAATTTTCTAAGCACTTTCGTTCGAACAACTTTTTGTCTAATGTCAATTCAATTTGAAAAAAAAACACATTGAAATTTTTCTATTTGGTTCACTTTGTTCGGATAATTGAACGCTTTAGTAGCCCAAAGACGTTCATTGAAAAAAACTATCAACAAACAACAATGTTACAGCCCTTGACCACAAAACTTGATAGAGACCACTCATATCAATGGAAAGCTCCAACTGCCGACAAAAATCAGCAGATACGCAATAATACGAAAACAAGATATTTAGAACGCAAACAAATGCACGGGAGCAAAAAAAATTTTTTCTTGCCGGAAGCAAACATACAATCCTTTGTTGGGCCAAGAATGTTCTTTGCCTTTTGGCTCTTTAGGCCAAAACACTAATTGAATTTAAAAAAATAAAATCAAACAAGGAAAAATGATCCACTGATTCTGTTGAACACAAGTAGTTAACCTCAAAAAAATTATGCCCTCATTTGATAACGCTTGTTAATTGCAGATCGCAAGAAAATCAACAAATGACTTTCTTGTCAGGTCGCGCATAAATTATATGTAATTACGCTGCACTCTGTTATGCAGTTTTTGCAGTGGTGTCAAGGCCACCCACCAGTTGTGTTGGCTATTTACACGTATGGTGCTACTTAAAATCATCTGTCTGCATATCGGCTTACAAATCAGACCTAATTATTTTGCTGTCTTATTTGTAGCCATCTATTCATGAATTGTCCTATTCAAAAACACATATCTATCAAGTTATAACAATAACTTTACATTCTAAAACATTCTCGGTACATCTATTTGTTGTACTATACAAATTTTTATTTAATTTACATTTCGCATTTTACCGAATTTTATCAGTCTTAGATTTCGGTAAAGGTCATCATCAGTTCCTGTAACAGATGACCCGGCGGACCTCCCGGGGTTAACTATCTATTGGGCAAAACCCTCTGTCTCCACCGTTTAGTTGGGACAGTTGGTTCGGACAATATAGCCTTACCTTAGGCATATAGGACATTTTTAACGTGTCCAACATTTTTGTGGCGCCCAGCGCAGTCCATGATGATCCTCCCGCAAGGCCAGAAACGAAACTCGACACAGAGTCGCAACCAGAGGCAGATAACGGCCTCCACAGAGACGCAGCTGCAATCAGGCGTGTTGATGAAGCGAGCTTAGAACGGCGGAAAATGGGGCTACAAATTGGGATGAACTGGTTCTTTCACGGAGCCGAAGCTGGAGCGCAATCACGTTTGTTTTTTGATGGAACGAAGGGAGAAAAAACTCGAACAAGCTTTTCCGCATGCCGATTTAAACTTGTTGTCGATCGTAGACTTCTACCGAAATTGTGTTTACGCTTTCAAGGTGGAGGTTAACTATACCACGGAACGAAGTTATATGACGTTAGGTACATGGAAGCATATGAGTCTTTTTTGTCATTTCACTCACTATTGTCGGCACAAGCAGCGTGTTGCAACTGGACAACAGATGAAGAACATAGTGTAGTACGAGACCTATTCACAGGACGAATTCGAGATGCTGATACCCAAAGCACGCTTATCCGAAAAAAACCTAGATCACGAAGGCACCTCAAAACTAGCGTTAGAGCTGGAAAAAAGAGTATCAGCATCTACCGAGTTCTAGAAAATTCTGCCGCATTATAAAGATAATTCAGACTTCCTTCCAGCTAAAACCCAACAGGAGTCTACTTTATCGGTCCAGCCTCGTTAAAGGGGGCGGACAAGGACTTCCCACACACAAAGCGGTCAGCACAGGAAGAATCAATTACAGGCTAAACTGTGTCATTCAAAAAGAAAAAGGGTCATTTTCATTTAAAAAAAATCGAAAATTTCACAAAATGTCGAGTCAAAAGAGAGGAAGATAATGAACTCTGCAAAAACCTGCAGACAAGTAGACATGACATTGTAGTAACCAATCAAGACATAGACAGCGAAGCTGATTACGGCGTTCTTAACGTCCAACAGCGTAGAAAGCGATCCACAGCTCAAATTTGCATCATGAAATCCATTAAAGTCTTTGGTACTCTAACAAACCCTACATAATCCGGAGGCTGGAAAAATCATATTGCTGCATTCCTGGTTTCGGAAAATAGAATTCGCTGCTTATGTGGTTTGGATTTGCAGGGTTTAATTCGCATTGAAACCTTTCAAGGAAATCCTCCAGAAGTTAATCAAGTACAAAATCTCGTGGAAAATTCATCCTCCGAGCTGATCAAGGCCTACTTTGTAAACAAATTCTCTAAACTGTTCACACGACTGGCCAGATATAAATCTTATCAAGTTCAAACAAATTTCAAGAACTCGCTAATCCCTCTGCAGAATAAAGGCCGAAAGGTACCTATCCACATAAAAGATCGCGTGTCAGAAGAAATGAAAGGGTTGGTCCGGGATGGCCATATTACCAAGTTGGACAAATGCACGACGGACCATTTTATCAACCCGAAAGTGATCACAGCAAAGAAAGATGTGTCGATGACATTAGCAATGGACGCCAAACCCCCTAACGCCCAGATTTGGAAAAATAAATAACAGCTGCAAACATACCAGAACTTATCGAATCTGCCGCTCGGATCATTACGAGCATCGCGCCAGGCCCTGTGTGGTTTACCTCGCTCGACCTAAAAACGCATTCAGTCAGATCAAAACAAGCCGTCATTGTAAATTCAGTAGCAGTTGTGGCGATTCAACAGGGACATACTGCGTCAACACCGGTTTCTACGGTCTAACGGACATGCCGTCCGAATTCCAAAAGGCGATGGATTGCACTCTCCAAGGCAAACCATGTACAATTTGCCACCCCGACGATATTTTGGTGGTCTCACAAGGTTCCTTGACAGAGCACAATGAGGTCGTTCACAGAGCACAATGAGGTACTTTCTCGTACTTTCGAAATGCGAGTTCGCAAAAAAACAAGCTTGTGTGGTTGCGTTTTGATATTCACTCTAAAGGCTATTCTCCAAAATTCTCATAAATAGATGATATAAAAAGCCTGACCGCTCCCAGGACTCTAAAACAGCTTCGCTCCTTCACGGATACGCTAAACCATCTCCAAAAATTTTATACCAAGTCTTCATAATCTTACGTGCGAATTTCGAGAACCTCTTGAGTTCTGTAATAAATAGAAATTCATCTGGAAAGCTACTCAAGATGCTGCATTTAAAAAGATTCTGGATCTCATCGCCAAAATCACCGACTTGCATCAGTATGACCCTGTCAAAAACACAAGGATTAAGTGCGCGCCAGATCAAAATTGTCCCATTCAAAAAGCCATATCTATCAAACTATTTTATTACCAAACTTTCTCGGTACATTTAGTCGTTGTACTATACTATTTATATTTAATTTACATTTAATATTTACCGAGTTTTATCAGTCCTAGAGTTCGGTAAATGTCATTTCTATACATGAATTGAAAAATTTGGATTTTTTTGATAAATTATGAACATTTAAAAACAGCTGAACCAATCTACAAAATAACTGAAACCTAAACAGAACTAAAACACTAAGTTGGTAGTAACTAAGTCCAAACATACTAAGCCAAAGAAAAACTGACCAGTATATACGCAGCCGAAAAAAGTAGCACCTATTTTATTTTTTTTAAATAAACATACATACTCCGGGAAAAGAGCCTCTGCCATCGACGACCTGCAGATTTCGGGTGAACAGCCTTACCAGTTGCGCTAAGTGGCGGGTGTTTACCAAAGACCAGCTACACAGATGTTGTTTTTGTCACTTTTGAGAAAAAAGCACTAATTTGTGCCACATAGGCTGGAGAAAAAAGAATACACGTAGTATTTTAAAGCTTTTGTAAAAAAATCATGGAAAAAATATCTTTTTATTTTCGAATCTAGGGTACTCAGCTCTTTCAAAGTATGAAAAAAACCCGCCAAAAATTGCTAATGAGTAACTCGAAATTCGTCTGGAGAAAAAAACTTACAAATATTCCTTCACTTTCTTCGAAAACTGGAACAAAACGTCAATCTATGACTCATTAACCCAAGTAGCTTTGCAACCCACCCATGATTATCGATTTGGTGACTTTGTTAGTTGAAAAACACAATTTAATGTGACGCTTCCTTACGTGTGATCACAGTCGACATAGAAGTCCAATCACTTGAGATGTCGATGCCAGGGGAACCATCGCAGTCAAACTCCTGCCGGACCCGGTAACCGAATCTAGTTCCGCTGCTCAATGACTTAATTATGACTGAATTGTTTCCGGTAACTGAAAAGAAATAACCATACATTAATTACCGGATTAGAAGAGCTTTGGATAAAATTAGCGCCGGATTAACGACTAGTACAGGTTATTTTTCAAAAAACAATTTTTAAGAGTTCTCTCTTATTTAACCATTACTCAGGATTTTGAACCCATTATTTTCGCAGTAGGCAGCAAACAGTCGCCGAACTCTGATGTTATATTTCGTTGTGTCGGACTGCTTTTTACTCACTTCATTTTTCGACGTTCATCGAATTTCATAGAATTTTGGGTCTTAAAATAGCGAAATACATTGCACCATAAAAACTGGAACAATTGCAAACTAAAATTTGTCCTCATCGTCTTTGTCTAGAGTTAACCCAATTTGAGAGAAATGCGTAAGAGATTTTCAGCTTCTTTTTATGTGACCGGTTATTTCAATCAGCACTGAATGAGCTGTTTGTCTTAAAATGTGGTGGAGTTCGATAAATCGGGGAACATGCTTGTAAATTAGCATGCGTGATCCTCAAAACTCGGCGACTATTTTAATAACACTAAGTTCACTTGGCAAAAAATGTACTAACAACACAAAAACTTTTTCTTTTCTTATACCATTATTATACATGAATGTTAAAGATGATCTAAGGTTGAAACAGTAAGTTATGAAACTCTACATGGCGAATAATTTGCAGCGGTTTAGGATATTCGAAAAAGCTTATAGTTGTGCTATGCTTTCTTTCATTCTCCCTCATATATTCTGCACGAAATTAAGTGGAGATCGCACCACTTGCGACCCATTACAAACATAGCATGGCAAGTTAGCCAATAGAAAATGCGACGACAAAAGCCTAAAAAAAAGAACCCTAAAAACAATTTAAATGAAATTTTTCGAAGAAATTAGATCTACCAAAATTTTCATACGTTTGTATCGAATTATGTCCATTTCAGGGAAAACCACCGGATAAAGGTTCTTTCCAGAATGAAGTGAGCACTGAAAGACACTTAACTAACACTGATTGCTTCAAAAAAAACTTGCTACAAGAAAAAATGACAATTCTCAAACTTTTTGAATAATTTTGATTGGCAAGCAAGCGCTAAATGAAGCTTCCAAAACTAGTTTTCCTAGAGTAAAGCTAAGTTTTTTTTTTAACTTTAACAATTAGGTAGGGGCTATTCTCATGAAGAAGGGACCGAATGATCGGAAAGTTTCAGCAAATAAAAAAACACACAAACTGGTCGAAAACCCAACTATCTCAAAAACGGTACTACCAAAAACTGTAGTATCTCAACTGTTTTAGTTCATACAATATCTTAAAAAAATCAGGTCACACCCGAAAGTAATTTCATTTTAGTGTAGTCACAAAAAAAAACAAATTCAAATCAGGACTGTTATTTTAAATAGAGACAAAAAATCAAGTTATATAAGAGGCAGAAGTCTCCAAAACAACTGAGCTGACGAAAACTCAGTGATTTGGTTCGAACATTTCACCTGAAAAAAATCAAAGTTTTAATTTGATAACGCTTGCGCCGCTGTGTGTTAATCTAACTTGACTTAAACACTTAAGTAGCGGCTATTCTCATGACGAAGGGACTAAATTAAAAAAAAAACACACAAGATGGTCAAAAATCTCGAAAACAACGAGTTCTTCGAATGCTTCATGCAGATAAACCGAAGCAAAACTGCCGGACTACAGTAAAAAAAAAATTCCCTGTAACCCGAGGAGGGGGGCATGGGGAACACTTGGGGTCAAAAATCATCAAGTTTGTTCACAAACAATGTGTGTTTTGATACCGCTGAGCCGCACACATCAGCCCGACTGCATAATTTTTCATAAATTTCAAAATTTTTATTTTGAACATGAGGAAGGGACCACCGGAAAAACTGTACTATCTCAACTCTTTTAGTTCATACATTATCTAAAATAAATTTAGGACACACACGAGAGTAATTTCAGTTGGAGGCAGACAAGCAATTTTCCACCAATTGCAGCTCCTTGTGGTTACAAAGGCTCAAAAATAAAATTTCTTGACAAAAAAAAACAAAAAATTTAAATGGCTGAATAACGCCATCAAGACCTAATACTTCATGCTTTGAAATTGATATTTTCCTGGTAATTAATTCAGTAGCCACATGGCCTGTCTTTAGAAGTTTCCGCCTTATTTCTGAATGTACTTGACTTAAGCGAAAGAATCATTTAAGCTTACAATGATAAAAAATTATTTTATATTCTCAGTAACGGTGAAATAGCTTAACATGTATATAAAAATTGATTTAAAAAAAAAACAGAAAACGCTCGCTAATTTTAGCCGCGGGCATCTTTTTGCTTAAAAAATTAACGTAAACTTAGCCGTGGGCTTTTTTTTGCTTCGAAACCAACGTCTAGTTATCACAGAGGCGAAGCGGAGTTTCAAATCACTCGCGATATAATTAAAACATGGCATAACAATATATTGATTAAAAAAGGAAGTCAATTTTATGAAAAAACTATCGAAAAAACTATATCTACAAAAAATTCATATCTGACGCTCGAACGTTGCTCCTAAACAGCTTTAACAAACAAGGAAAATCAATAAACAATGGTCAACTAAAGCGTTGGCTCGACCTCCATTATGCCGAAAACGGAATTAAAGTCATGCAAAAATGCAAACTAAAAAATTTTTAAAATCAAAATATTTAAGACCCATCATTCCTAATATAAGCAAAATATAAACTTTTAGGAATTTGCTTGAAACTACGCAATTTACACAAAAAAAACGATCAAACAAACCGTATAATCGAAAAAAAAATCAATGGAAATATTGAAAATCAGAGTTGGTAAATTATAATCTACAGAACAACTTTTCAAAACCAAATCCGTAGTTATTTCTCTACTAAAAAGATTAGCCGCTAGAACATAGGAAGTGCCTATTAGCAATTCTTACAAATGGACGAAAAATAAAGATGGGCAGGAGAGTAGACTTTTACCGCAACCTGTTCTTTTGATCGAACACGTGACAGGAAAGACACTAATACAGTGAGGATCTTCTCTATCATATCCTATTGTGCAGGGGAGCTTCACACATACCGTTTATTGATTGCTAAAAACCTGCAATTTAGGAGGGTAGTTATTAAAAAACTGTAACAATTTCGAAAAACGGTCAAAAACTCTGTGTACATAAATTTGGGCGTGACCGCTTATGCAGGTGTAGCTCCCACAAGTCTATCCATCCATTGGTCAAAACATTAAAAGTCTGATTTTTCTGCGGCCCATTAGAAAAAAAATTGAACGTAACCAATTACGCAGGAGAGCATCCCACTGCCCGTGATTTCGATTGAACCCGAAACCTCAGATATGAGAGCACGAGCGGATTTAGTTGGGGTGGCGGGCAGACGCCCCCCCCCCCACCGTTCTCATGGATTCGACCCAGGGGCGGATTTAGGGGGGGGGCGGGGGGGGGGGGGGGGCGGACGCCCCCTCCCTCAGGGATTCGACCCCCTGCCGACCCAAAGGGTCCCCCCTTTGATACTTTTTCGGAAATCCATTTTTGGCGGACCGACCCTAAAATTTTTCTAAAGGCGCCTTCGGCGCCAATATATACTAACTTTGAGGGGGAGCGCGCGCCAAAAAAAAAACGAAATTTTTTTGTCAAAATTTTTCAAAAAGTGCCCAAAAACGGCTTTTTTGACTGTTTTTTCAAAAATTTGCCTGCGGCGCAGACATTTTTTACCAAAATAGGGGCAAAACAGTGCTTTGGGAGAGCTCGAAAAATCTATTTGGTCGACCTAAAAAAAAAAAAAAAGGTCAAAATTTTGGAAAATTTTTCGAAAATCCGCCCCCCCCTCGAGAAAATCCTAGATCCGCCCCTGATTCGACCCCCTGCCGAACCAAAGGGTACCCCCTATGTACCAAGTCGAGATATAAATTTTTGGCTGACAGACCCTTAAGTTTTTCTTAAGGCGTCTTCAGTGCCAATATTTCCTAATTTTGATGGGGAAGCTCGCACCAAAAAAAAACAATTCTTAAGCCAAAATTTTCCAAAAAGAGCTTTAAACGCATTTTTTGGCCAGCGGAGCAAATAATTTAGCCAAAACAGAGCCTTTTAGTGCTTTAGTGCTGAGAGCTCGGAAAATCAAATTAGTCAACCGAAACAAAAGGTCGACAAAATTTGGAAAAAAAATGAAAAAACTTTCCAAATAAAAACACCATATCCAATACATTTTCAGAATACCCATTTTTATCAAACAGGGGCAGTTTGAATCAGAAACAAACTAAGCTTTAACAAAGAGGCGAAGTTGCACTTCACATACACAAGCAAAAACATGACCGATAAAGCTACTGGGAAAAACTGAATGCGTAAGACTTTGAGTCTACAAAATTTCTTAAGTGACGCACGCCAATTATGACGCTTTAGCAATATGAGTCAATTTGAAAAAAAATGAAATTTAGCAACTAACATGCCTCAAGTTATAGAGCAGTCTAAGCACCAATAACATGAAAAAAATTAAATGTAATAAAAATAAAATAATTTTTTTTTGAGATTTTTTGAAAAAATCATCCCCGCACACGCCATATAATACATAAACTGACAAATTTCGCTCCTAGTAACAAATCAATTAAGACAAATAAGCTTCCTTCAACCACCTTGGAACGATTTCTAAGACGGATTAAATCTCCGCTAACGCGTAAACAGCGTGAAATATATCGCGCGTTGTCCCAAATTGGCCAAAATGGTTATGTTTAAACTCCCATAACTTTACGAAAAAAGATCACAGGTAAAATATCTTTTTAACATTAAGCTCAAGACAACAATACCTTTCAAATGACATAAAAATACGCTCAAAAAAGACTAGTTAAAAAGTCAACATATTTGCGACTTAGGTTGGAAAAAAAAAGATAGTTCATACTATAACACAAGCTTTGCTTGTGTAAAAAACATCTTGAAAAACGTATCAGATAAACTGAATTGCAATAAAAAACGTAACCAACAGACAGTTGAAAAAATTTTAAAAATATATTATTTTAATTATTGTAAAAATCTCAACTTTCGAATTTCAAAACAAAAAACGAACAGCCTGGAAACTTTTCAAGTTTGTAGAACAAAATATGACCAGCACTTTTTGATAAAATTACCCCAATTTGAGAAAATTGGATCAAAAATTTAAAAATTTGATTTAGCAAAGACATTTTTCAAGCAGGGAAATCCTTCAAAACTAGAATTCGGCCACGTTTTCGTGACCAGCACAACTTTGCTGTTCGATAGTAGGATTTGCCTTCTTTTTAACAAAGGAAATGAAACGAATTCAAAAACAAATCCGATGTGGCAACTAAACCGACAAAACTAAAGCAGTCAAACGAAACTCCAATAGGTTCAAATCATACAGAAAATTTGTCTATTTCAAACATACTGGAAAAAAACCAGTGGGGACTCGAACCGGAGACCTTAGGGCAAAAGACAGTTATCAATAAATTAAAGTTTGAATTTTCAGTTTGAAGAAATTTTATTTTTGCTTGCTTTTAAGCGTACGTTGAATATCAAGTGGAGGTGCAGTGTTTCAACTTAAATAGCTCGAAAGAATAGTTTACACAAGTGTTAATCTACGAGCTCTTTTTATTGAACTTCACGGTTTCGTGTTCGTTTTAATTGCTTTATATATATGCTTATCTGATATGCTTAACAGTTGATTTATTTCTGTAAATGTTTGAAATACTTAACTTTTGAAACATTTAATTTAAAAATTCATCAACGGTGATAACTTATTACTATTTGAATTTCAAAGCACAAGCTATCGAAAAGCCATAAAGGTGCCACCAAAAATCGCACGAATATTTTTGACTTAGGCTAGAAAAAAAGAATAGTGGTACTTTTACACTAACGCTGAATTCTGTTCGCAAGTTTATAAATCTATTTCCTCTATTAGTAATTTGATATTTAGTAAATGTGTTGTAGTGTCAACGAAAGCCAATATATAAGTATTATTACAAAGAATTTATTATGAAGATTAGTCGACATTTTTTGGATACTAGTTGATTTGGCTAAGAATCTGTTCGGTTATAACACTTGAGAATTAGAAAATTAACAAACTTTTTACACAGAGGCAAAACTTTGCTTCGCAAACACATGCGATAACACGACAAAAAACAGTTCTATAAAGTGCAATAATAAAAATTAAAAAAGAGCCTCGAATTAGTAAAAAGTCAGCTATCACTGAGCTTCCAACTTGCGGCCTAGAGAATTAGCGACTCACACGAACCACTCAGCCAAGGATGCTTATTTCGTACTAAACACTAGCCACAAATAAAGCAGATAACAGATATTATGCGATTTCCAATGCTGAAGAAAAAATTCCAAACAAGAGAACATTTTTATTGAACAATTTCTGGGCGATTTAGGTTAGAAAAAAAGAAGGTTCGTTATAATACACTAAGCTGATCGCAACTGTAAAACATGACTCAAAATGTCCTCTACTGGCCTCATTACTATGTAACCTACTGAGCTAAACACTGCATGTGTCATCATGAACTTTCAAAAAATACGTTCAGTTACTCCGTCCAAAAACTCTCCTTTGCCTGTGACTGTAATTCTACCTAACAGATAACTAAATGATAAAAATCAAAATAAATAGTATCCTGAAAGAAATTAGAAAAATATAAACTATTGCAGCGGTGATAGTTGACCATTAATAATACTTACAAAATGTACTCAGTACTCAGTTTTTTCTTTGTTGAGTACATTTCATCCACATTGCATAATGTACACTTTCATTAGAAATTTCTGTTTTTCTAGAGCTTAAAAAATGTTATTTCGATATCAAACAACCAGCGCAACTTTGCTCGCAATGCATCTTCAGCTCTTTTTCCTCCCTCCCTCCCTCCCTCCCTACGTACCTAACTCCCCCCCCCCCCCACACACACATCAATAATGCATCAATTTTATGTAGCAAGGATTGGTTTTACAAGGTGAAGTATGAAAACCAAATATGTTTGCAATAGCCTTATTAGTCCGCATACCACTTTTTGTAACAAGCTGATAGTGTAAACAAAAGAGCCCTATCTTCCTAAACTTGTTGAAAAAATAATCTATATATGTTTCCACATTTGTGGGGTGAAGACGCCGGGAAAAGCTGTGCTCTCTCAGCTCGTTTCGTTCATCAGTTAACAAAAAAGAAACTCCTAACCTATCATTAGAGAGTAATGTAATGTACAGGCAGACAAACAACTCACTTGAATAGTACTCAGTGTCGTTGAAATCGACAGTGAAGCCTGTCATGCTGTCGTAATTTCCCGGGTTGGAGGCGAAGTACACGATGGCAGTCGTCTCATTCACCAGTGCAGCCGAAACTCCTGTTGGAGGCAGCGGCTCTGAACAGACCCGAAGAATTAAAAATGTAAATCAAACCGAACAGGAGCTGCAATTGCTAGTTTGCAAATATTATGAAAATATAGTTGGTCTCTTACGGCAGGGACGATTCCTACTAGGTACAAAACTTTCATTTGATTATCCGTTGAATTAAATCTATTAACGAATGAGGTGTGAAAGCAGCGACGGAACAGGAATTGGTTTAGAAAATTATAATTTTGAAGATATTCATATGGATTTTATAAAACAGTCATTCTCAATGCTATTATCAAATTCAAACTTCTCGAAAGTCTCCTTATTGTTCCGACTTTCGATACAAAAGTAACGGAATATTTGTGCTCGGGGTGGGTTTTTTTTTTCTTCAGACAAATTTCGACTTTTTAACAAGCCACTTTTGACGGAATTTTTTTAATATCATTCGAAAGGTATTGTTCTCCTGAGCTTAAATTTGAAAAGATATTTCACCTGTGATCATTTTTCGTAAAGTTACGAGGGTTTAAAGAGTGCCATTTTGGCCAATTTGGGATAAATTAACGCGCGATAAATTTCGAGCTATTAACGCGTAAGCCATATTTAATCCGTCTTAGAAATCGTTCCAAATTGGCTCAAGGAAGCTTATATGCCAAAATTGATTTGTTAATAGGCGCAAAATTTATCACTTTGTACTTAATATGACGTGTGGGGTGATGTTTTTACATAAAATCTGAAATTTTTTCAAATTTTTTTTTTAATTTTGGCCAATTTGGGACAATTAACGCGCGATATATTTCGCCCTATTAAAGCGTAAGCGGAGAGTTAATCCGTCTTAGAAAATGTTCCAAATTGGTTAAAAGAAGCTTATTTGCCATAATTGGTTTGTTACAAGGAGCGAAATCTATGCTTTTGCACTTTATATGGTGTGTGGGGGGATGATTTTCATAAAAAAATTTCACATTTTAGAAAAAAAAAACTTCTTTTGTTTTATTTCATTGAATTTTTTTAATGTTATTACTGCTCCATAAACCTTAAAAGGCAGTCAGAACATTCAGGACTTTGCCCTGATACGAGCAGTCTTGTTGAAATTTCAAATACAATCAAACGGGAAAACTTTCCCTCTTTGAAAACCTTTTTTTAAACTCATAATTGCTTCATCTACACAAAAATGAGGCAAACAACTCGGTTGCAACCTCAAAACTTTCTCTATTCCTATCTTTTATACATATATATAGATATTAGACATATTTTGTTTTAGATATGTTTTATATGTTTGATATATATGCAACACCGACTCCAACTGTTGTTTTAAAATCAGCGTTTACTGACGAAAATAAACTCGTGGTGTAGAGTGATTTAAGTTCGAAGACTTCTTACGCTTCTTACGAGGCAGCATCACTGATGCCCGCATACAAGAAGCAGAAAATCAGCGAGCTAAAGATTTACATCTTCATCTAGATGTAAACGCACTCCGCTTTTAATCGAATATTGACGAAGTTACACGAAATGATCTTAAGCAGACCTTACAGCGATTGCGAAATTAATACGCAGGGTCTAAACGAGGCCGAGAATATGACTTTGAATTGCGAAATAGAGTTTTCAAATCCGAAATTGAGGATCCACTGGATTTTCTAACTGATTGGAATCGTCTTAAAATCCTAATTTTTTTTAGATGACAACGATGCAGAACTCATCCGAGCAGACAAGCGAAACCGGCGAGTAACAGATCAATTCACTGGCATAAAACCCAACAAATACAATAAATACTGCTCCTAGAACACGACAATATTATAGTCGAAGGCCTGTGCGCTACGATTCACCGAAACATGCAAGTTGACAGAATCGAAATTGACCATCACATAAATTGTAAAATCTCATCCATTCAAACGAATGCCAGTAATAGCATTGAAGTTGGCCAAATTTGGCATATCTATGCAAACTTATCACAATCTGGCTATGCAGAAAGCAACCAAAACTTCGGCCCATATTTAAACGACAGATAAAATCTCGATCCCAGCCTCCCAGAAAACTAAGAGGATTACACCAAAACTGAAAACAAAAACCAACCATCGACTTTTGATTACCATGCGGATAATTATGATATTGACTACTATTAAGAAAAACAGGAAAACAATTCTGGATCTGAAGACCAGCAGCAAAATGCAATCTCTGATCAATAACGGCCTGAGATAGTCGAAGATAATTGGGCAGGCAGTACAAATCCGTTTTTTGCTATATGTAAAGCAGCGTACAGCGAATCCCTGATTCCGTTTTCCACAAATGGTTATCTGATGTTCATTAAAAAAAACTCAATGACTTCGTACTGATCATTTGTACAAACTGGCTAGACAAGAATCAAAATTTAGTTTCTGTTCTTTCTTTGGATTCTCAAATCAAAAATTTGGGCTTCTAAAAATCCCTTCATCAATTTTTCTAACAATACGCACAGGCACAGCCCGAACTCTGAAGAAAACTGGTGCGCAACGACTATCATTCCGACCCCACTTACGGCCAAGGACTTCTAGGTGAAACGCTAATAAAATCAAGTAATGTACCCAAAAATTCATGGGATTTTGTTTAACTTACAGGACTAGTTCGTGCATGTTAAATTAGCAGAGAAAAGCTAACTGTATTGTTGCAGTGTCATTTGGTCAAATAGTACTTTTATGTAGAATGCCCACAGCCTCAACCACTGTTGGTGTTATAAAAATTCAAAACAAGCTAAGTGTTATTGCGGTTTCATCTGATCCTTTAGTTACAGTTGAAGTGAATGCTTACAACTTACGGTTCTAACAAGGTTACATATCTTTAACATTTCCTAGCATTTCCTAAAAACAGTAAGCGGACCTTCAGCGCAAAACTCTTAAAAAATTTGCCTGTTGCCAAAACTTCAATTGTCTCTCAAGGCATTCGTCGTAATGAAACAATAATTCTTTGAAAGCTCAGTGCCTAAGCTTCCTTATAAAACAGAATCCTAGAAAAACATTTGAAAACTATCGTTGCAGCAAAACTACCTTCGATATTTTTTGAGTTTCGCATGAACCACACAAAAACGCAAATCAAACAGACAAAGAGGAGCTGACTAAAAATTATCTTATATCAAGCCTTGATGTACTTCCAACGATGTTTATAACCCAAATTCTCCAAAAAAAAATCCAAAAAATATAGATTTTTTTTCATCTGGAAAGTTTTCTTAAATTGTTCATTTTATGCAGCAGTTTGTTAACAATCTTAGCTTTGGCACGGCGCATATACTCTTTAACAGCCGAATCTCGAAAACCATATTTGATTCATTTCCCACGTTCGACGAGGAAGGTGGCACAGAATAAGGAAGGATCGTTTCCATTATGATTGTCATTTGCGACGAGAAGTTGTCGATAAGCAACCAATTTCTCGCAACAGCCCTTTAGAAATTTCAACTTAAATTTCTTATTGGTAACAATTTTGTACCCTTCCAACTTCACCTACATTCCTTACAAAATTGAACCAGATAAAATTTTCTGAGTCCAGCACAGCAATCATAGCAAGCACTCGAAGGTTCTGACCAATGCTTTTTGTAGACGACGTCAAAAAGAGGTTGACAGATAATCAATCAACAAAACCCGAGACATAACGGATTTATATATTTTTAAGGCCCTTATCGGACAAAAACTCAATAAGCATATTACCATTCCCTTCCCAAACTCATTATCGTTTTTTGTCCAAAAGCCTTCCCCTAAATTAAATCCCCTCAGGAAACCCAAGCAGAAATAACTATGCGTTCTCCTAAATCATTTTCTATATAAAGCCACGTGAGAAAGATATGACTCACACGAGACGATGACCTCTTACCAAATACATTGCCCGACAGAAGCAAGATGTATATCAAAAAAATCCTATGTTTTACCCTCCCCCTTACCCCCTCCGTAAGCACAAAAACAATTTTAAAAACTTTTGGTGCTTTATACAACGAAGTAAGAGGCAACTTTATAGATATGCACCAGCCAAAACCATTTAAGCTGAAAAACCTTAAAAAGAAGAAAAGCGAAAACAAACAAAAGGAAAATTAAAAACAAGAGTTCATTTACAACCAACAAAAAAATTCTAATGGATCGGCCAATTAAAAAGCAGAAATGCTCAGAAAAAATCTGCTGACAGGCATTCTGTCCTGCTGCTATCAGCTGCATTTGGCTGAGGCTAACAGCTGAGCTAACTGATTCAACTGACTTTGTTAAGTTAAGTAGAAAAAAAACTATATTCCAGACTGATAACGCTTGCTAATCGCAAGCGTACTTCAAAAACAGTTTTCGTTCTTTTAGTTTTCTCTAGTAACTATCACTAAAGGCACGCTTCACCTTTCTAGAATCCAAAAACTTTTTCTGTCATGTAATTTTACCCTTTTTAACCAGTACACTAAAAAAGTATCTGTCTTCCATCTACGCAAAAAGGTGGTCTTAAACAGTCGCCAGAATTTTCGACATCGTTCAGCCTTATAGCAGGCTTCTAAAAACTATTTAATGTCTTTTTTCAACTAAATTAAAACATAGATCTCAAAATAAGCCAAACGGGGCTCTACAAAAACGATGCTGGTAAGATGAGAAAACCTCGCATCGAAGTTTCAAGAAAAAACATTGAAGCACAGCAACCTACTCGAAAGTTTGAGACAAAAAATCTACCCAATCGATCAAGTGGACCTACTTAGCGTAAGCTAATTTGTAATTTTAGTCATTTTTAAATTAGTCGTCTTGCTTTGCTTTCTTTTCACTGCCCTATCTAAGGTAAACTTCAATAGCACTTTTTGCTGCATTTTTGTTTTTATCTCATTAATGATACCTCTTACCAAGCTTGCTGCTAATCTTTTTTTCCATTGCCAATCACTCTACCAAAAACCCTTGTTGTGGAAAGCAGCAACGGAACAGGAAATGGATATTGCGGCAAGTTGTACAAGACAAGCAAACGTAGCCAACAGACAATTGGAAAACACTCAATGGAAAAGAGTAAAAAAGAGTTGAAAAAAAGAATCACGACCAAACGGAAATCTGAATAACGTTCATCGACTCTCAATAACCGTTGCTATTTCTTCAGATAAATAAACCCGCAGTGTCTGGAACGACACGTTCCTTATTGATAATCAGAAAAAGAACCAATTCTCTATTTGCAATGAGAACTCAACTGCAACTTTTTCTGACTGATAAAAAAGGCACCAACCTTATACCATCCAGCTGTATGCACCATTATCATAAGCCAAGCATTGACATTTAGCTGTGCTAATTTCATATTGTCTTAATTTCCTTTCAGCTGTTGAAAAAAATATTGAACTTAACATTTGAACACCGTTGATATAAAACACTGCAGAATTACAGCGCAAAACGGACCTAAAAAGAAAAACTATTTAAGGCTACCATAACCTTGTTCAACCAACTGAACAGGATATTCCAGAACAGGCTCATTATAGGATCCCAAAGGCGAAAGATTTATTTTATCAGTGAAATGCTTTCTTAAAAGTTTTGACATTTTTTCGATATTTAAACAGTAAACTAAATTTCCTGAAAACATATTACGGCCATTGCCAGCTGAAACGAAGCCGATTCGACTGAGCCTTTTCAGCTGGAAGCTGCAATTTCAATAGTAATTCTAAAAAATAAAAAAAAACGTTTAAAGTTAAGACTAAAAAATCATACTTGTGCACATAGCTTGGGTGTAGTCTCCGCCGAAGCGAGTTTCTAATTTATATTCAAATTGCTTTCCCGGCTGAAGTCCAGTGCCAGGGGTTCCTCCGAGTTTACCATTGTCAGCGTGGGTTGCAACATCTTGCGTAAATTCAAACGCAATCACCCCCTCTCTCCTCACTGTCGCTGGGGTAGATGTCCCATATAAGTTGATTACCATTGAAATCTCATCAGTTGTGGTTGATGCGGCATTAAAAGTTATGCTTGGGGCTGAAACAAAAGCGAACGGAGTTAAAATCAGACATGACCAGTTCCGAGTACCACCAGCTAAATCGATGCCTAAACCACCGCACCATTTCCATGCCTTTAATAATTACTTCAAATTGATGTCAATAACTTATGATTGAAAATCTACTACAGATCCACTTGATCGCCAACTTACGATAAAATCGCAGTAAAAGGGGGGCGTAGCCAGGGGCCTATTAGCACGCGCTAATTGCTTTAACGGTGTGTCCTTTCAGACGAAAAACAAATCAGCCTTAAGTTTCAAAAACCACTTGATTTGTTGGCTGAGTTAAAATTTAACGTTTGCCTAATTAAAAATTGTTCTAACTGCACGCTGTTCAAAAGTGCAAATTTGAGCAACAAAAAATGAAATAGCGATTCTTAAAACTATATTCGGATTTACTTAAAAATGGGGTGCTATTTTCATGGGCGAAGGACCGAATGGGTGAAAAACTCATAAGCGAAGGACCGAAAACAAAAACAGCCGAAAGGCAATTATTGCAATGAGTCAATTGCCCTTCAACTATAAGAAATTAAATGAAGCCGCATTCTGCTTCTTTTTTAACGAAACCCTTGAAACATAAATTTTGTTCCAATTAGCTGGTGGTAAGTGTCATTTTGAAAACTTTGCACAATTCTGCCGTTTTTATATTCGACCAATATTAATATAAAGTCCCTGAAAATTTTCACGCTTTCTTTCCAATTTTTGAAATACTGAAATCTGATTGGCTGATTTTTATTTTCGCCTTTTCGGTTTTTCGCCTAAGAGAGATTCCACCCTTAACAATAACCTCCCTTTTAAGAAAGAGGGATAAATGTTTAGGAGATTAGGTTAAACGAATTTTCGACCAATCAGAATGCAGCAAAATTCGAACTAAAAACATAACACGCCAGTGCTAATTTAATCCTTTTATTTAAAGGGGTAAAGGGGTGTCAATTTTTTGGTAGATACCGTAGAGGGAGATTGTTAAGTAGATACTTATTTTTTTACATGGGCATGCTAATCGACACACAATCTAATAGGCCGGTCACCCAAATCAAATTCCTCTAAATTGGATCTTGAACTAATTGATAACTGACTATAAAAGATGAGTCTTTCGAGTACCGTGCAAACATCCGATATGTCAAACAATCGAAAAACCAGAAAAAATTGCAAACATCCGAAAACAGCTGTACTAGGGCGAACATCCGACATAAAAGATGCTGCATTAGACAAACTAATAACGGCCGCCGCAGTCGCATCAACACCTTGCGAGCTTGGCAACAGAAGGTAGGACTCTATATGAAAATTAGAGCCGGTTATTGCCGCAAAGCGGTGATGCGCGCACAGCACTCCCACTGTCTCATCGGCTCGTTGAATCGGCTTATTGGACTATGTCCTGTGTTTGAAACTCTTAGATTACAATAATGGTTAGTTAATTTCGGATGTTTGACAAATAGGATGTTTGCCCTAGACTTTCATATCTATATTGCGAGAGAAAAAAAAGTTATGCAACTTTTCAAATATCTTTCAAAGTCTTGCAAAAAGTATTTCATATTTCAAGATTACCGGTAGAGATGAGAATTAAAGAAAAGCAAGGTGAAACTCACATGGGGTACTTGCTGAAACCGTCTCCAGACTGAAACAAATTTAATTATGTAAATCACATTCTCAGAATAGAACATAAGGTAAACATAAAAGGTAAACAGCATAAGCATTTCAAAGACAGTCGATACCTGGTTGAAAAGAAGCTCAATCAATTCGAAGCAACTTGGCATGATTTGATAATATTGACAAATCTTCAGAGAACGAAATCACTATATTTGTTGATTCATAACGCATGAATGAGGTCTTTGATGAGGTAGTTTTTTCAACTAGTTTTGGGATTGGAAAGTTTTTACACAGAGACGAATCTGCACTTCGCAAACACTTGCGAGAATACGACCAAAAAGCAGCTCTATTAAGAAAAACTGAAAAAAAAATAGAATTAAGCCTCGAATTAGCATAAAACTCGTATACGTGTCGGATTCGAACCTTCGACCAAGCAAATTTGAGTCTCACTCACTAACCACTCAGCCACGGTTGCTCAAAATCCCCAAAAACTAGGCACCAATAAAGCATCAACATATACTTATAAATTGCCAATCTCCTGCAGCCAAAGTAGAACCAAATACAAAAAGACACAATTTTCATATAATAAATTGGAAAGCGTAAAGCCAAAATCTGTATAAATTATGCTTTTCAAAAATTGTGTTGGAAAATTGCTGAAACCGAGCTTTTTATCATTGTACTGCTGCTTGAAACAAATAACTTTTTTCGGTTCATTTGATGAATTAAAAATCCATCAGCTGTGTTAATTTTTTAATCAAAAGTCAAAGGGTGTATGATAATATACTGCTACCGCAACCTACTGATTCAAAAGTGCCACCGGAAGTAGCACTTTTATTTGCGACTTAGGTTGGAAAAAAAGAAAATGTGTACTAATACACTTTGCTTCGTGAGTGTAAACACCGAGTCGAAGCTGAGCTTCGCGCCACTTGCGATACAAAACAAAATGCCAAAAGTCAGAATATAATAACTCTCAAACGATGAGTGAAAAACTTGAATGAATTGTTGTAGACTGAAAAGTTTACAAAAACCTTATTGACAATGTTATAAAAATCAATTACTTAACACATAAAAAGGATTCGGGCTACAAAATCTCCAATCTTTTCCTCCTCGTGACCAGTAGATGGAAACAATCAAAAAATTTGAAAAAACGAGATCTAAAGTTTTCGAAATGCACTCAAAAACATCGCTTAAACTTTCGCAACCAAACAATCTGCACATCCTACAGGAACAATTGTGGATAAGAACAATGGCTCTACAGGAGCAATAGCCCTTTACATTATTTGCTATAAATTACGACCATAAGAAATGAAAAAACATATATAAACCAAATGAATGCAAAAGTTTCAAACAATTGCCACAAAACAGAACTTGAATTTCCACACAAAAATTACTTGCTAAAAAATTGAAAAAAAAACTCTGAAAGCCTAAACAACCCAATTACATCAAATATGGGAATTGTACGCAACGTTAGGATAGCTGGTTAACACGAAAAAAAAATCATAAAAAGACGCCCCTAAAGGATTGAATCAAGAAACAAGAAAAATCATTTTTTTCGAAAAATTTCAGCCATAAAAAAACCACACGCTTGAATGTCGTGCGTCACTTGCCATATTTCACTTGACAACCCAGTCAAAAGAAAATTGCAAAAAAAAATCATTTTCCGGATATGTATGAAACTTTTGCGATCATTTTTTAAAAACATTTTAAAACAAACGCTATCCCATCAACTTAAATCGATTTCAAGCAACATTGCTCAACACTAAAACGATAACAAAAAAATAAACTGATTCCTGTCACTTTTAGATTTGATAATAATCACAAGCCATGCATTCGAAAAAAAACTTTCTTTATTTTCTCAGAAAGTTTTGTTGTGCAAAAAACAGAAAAAACTAAGAACTATGATTACACTATTGAAAATGAAGAAAGAGATTTCTTATGGAATCTACCAAAAATGTATAAAAAAACACCTGGCAAGTAAACCGACAAAAATTGAGACGAAATCGATAAATCCGACAAAAACTATTTAATTTTGAAAACGGTTTAGTCTATAGACCCAGTATTGCTCCAGCAGCTCTAGACCAGCTGTTAACAATGCAATTTGGCAAGCTTGTACTGACGTGAAACTTTGCGAGATTAAAAATGGAGATATTAAAATTGACAATTCTTGCGAACAAAATTATTTACAAGGAAAAAGTCTAGTAACCGACTGCAATACCCTTGTTAATCGAAAGGGTAATTAAAATTGACAGAAAACAACTCTCGTCAAGAGCATCAAATTTTTAAAACTTATTTACACGCCTAAGTTTACTCAAAATTAGGATCGAAAAAAATAACCATTTCGAAGTTAAGCTTCCAATAGCAACCCTAAGCATTTAACCATAGAAGTGAACCTTATGTTCCTTCCGACCACTGGAAAAGGCAAGGAACTTAATAATCGGGTAAGCTTCATTTTTCTTATTAATCAAAGCAAAATCAAGGGCCAAAAATAAAAATTAGGTGGGCTGAGCTGAAGATATATCCTTTTGACTCTTTTTAGCCATGATCCGAATTTTAAAAAGTTGTCAGCGACGAGAAAAACCGGTTCGGAATTTCCATCTTTTAGACTTCCGTTAGCTTGAGTCATTCTCTCACGCGTACTAAAACAGAAGGAAAAACGTTTATGCCTCCTATATTATAGCCTAAGCGTCCTCAAAATTATATGTTATCATTTGATGATCACGCAGAGTACTAACACAAACAGAAACACGATAGTGCCAGTGCCAAATATATAGAAGCCATTTTTTCATTTTATAATCATAATAATCATAATAAATTGTTTCCATCTAGTTTCTAAGTTATTTATAAAAGTGCAAAGGGCGTTTTCTCTTACAACGCTTTATTTGGCTCTAATCTTCACTATGCTTCCTCAGCCTGGTTACATGCCCCAATCAACATCTTCAGAAGCTAACTGCAGTTTATCCTTAAGACGAGCCCTCTGGAAAACAAGCTCAATTTCTATCAGTTCCAACGCCCACATTCACAGGCCGAAACTCGTAATTTGACAATCAGAGTGAATCCTTTTCAACTTTCAAACTTTATCTCTACATCGTACACATCAGTCAATTAACTATTTCTTGGCCCAATCCCACCCGCTAATCAAGTACATTCATTTTTTAAAGCCGCTTAGAAAGAAAAATACTGACTTGTTTCAGGTTCATTCCGATCACAATCCCTAGAAAACCCTTAAACCTTACTTACCAAATTTTTAGTTATAACATAACAAATCTCTACGCCGCAGTTCTTTGCATAAACTATACCCACCCTGTCAATTGATAAAAACTCTAATTCGACCACGCTAGTTGTAACAGAAATAGTTTCGCAAAAAAATAGGACGACAAACAAAACAACTAGAAAAAATTTTTTTGAAGCCGCCAGGTAGTTTATTTTTGGTTGCAACTTTGATTGTTGGACTCGTCGAAAAACTAACAGGCGAAAGAAAAGAGTAGCAGCTGTCTGCAAAAAAAGGCAAAACTACGATACAATAAGTTGCCTGAAGAAAACAAAAAGACAGATCACAAACATTTTTAATTTCTTTCAGTCGGAACAATTCCAGTAGCACTGTATCGTGTCGCGCATCCTACGGCGGAGGGCTCCTCTCAATGGAGGATCCCTGCGTACAGCAATAACCTAGGAAGAAGGTCCTCAAATTTTTGAAACACCCCAACCTAGGATTCGTAAACGAACGTACGGTCCTGCGCACAAAGTAGAGGACCCCCTCCTCATAATCTTGCTACGCAAAGCTTAAAAACATGGGAAACGATTCTTAATTCCTTCTAACTCCCCTTGAAGCGGGCGTTTATAGTTTTTTGCAGGTGAATACTTTTTGTAATTCAATTTAACTAGCAAGCCCACTGCAGCTTAAGCTGCTCCTGAAAAGAGACAACGCTTAACCTAAACAGAAAAATAGGTTGGATGAATGGATGGTTAGCTGGTTGTAGGGATGGCTTGATGAATGAATTGGTTACAGAATGGATGGATGAATCGAATGAAGACTGGGTGGATGTATGGATGGCATGATGGATGACGGGCTGGATGTATGGTGAATTGATGAGAGCATGAATGGATGGACTAGATAGATGGATGACTGGTTGGTTGAATGGTTAAATGGATGGATGGCTGGATAGATCGATTGATGATTGGTTAGATGAATCGATACCTGGCTTGATAGCTGGTTGCATGTTGGAGAGCGGGATAAAGCTACGATTGAATGACGTATTGATGGACAGACGTATGGACGGCTTGTTGGATGTAGAGATGGCTAGATTAATAATAGATGACACTAGGAGTGTATGTATGCATGGCTGAAAGGATCGATGCGGACGGATGGATTTCTAGATGGATGTATGGCTAGGCCGGTGATGAAAAGCAGGATGGATGACTGACTGAACATCCGGTGGACTGCCGGATAATTGATCTCTGGGTGATATGGATCGATCGCTGGCAGGATGGGCGAAGGGCTAGATTGATAGATGGATGGCTGGTTGAAGAAGAGATGGATGAAAGGCAGGATGGATGGATGAATGGCTATGCCGATGGAAGGCTAGATGAAAGGGTGGATGAATAGCTGAAGGGATAGATGAATAGTTGATTGAATGAACGGATGGCTAGATAAATGGATGGCTGGTTGGATAGATCAACTGATGGTGGTTCAACGGGTGGGTGCATGGACGGCTGGTTGGATGGAGGGCTGAACGGATTGATTGCTAGATGAATGATTAGAAGGATGACTTGTTAGACAATTGATTGGATGAATGAATGATTCAATAAATGGATGGCAACATGAATGGACGATGGATGGCGGTTATCGGACTGATTCCATTGCATGATGAAAAAATAGCTGGTTAGATGGCTAGCTGGGTGAATCAATGGGTTGGTGAATGGCAGGATAGATCAATGGCCGGTTCGTTGATTGGATGGCTAGATGGGCGGATGGGTGGCTGGATTGGAGAATGATTGGACTGTTCATTGAATGGATGGGTCTATGGACGG